CATTTCTAGGGAATCGTTCAAGGTGATGCAAACACGGAGTGTTAGACGAAGTCATACATGTCCGAGATAGATGACTGATGATTGACTGATGATTTTTGGGCAAAAAAGTAGCTAAATTTAAATTTGTAATCAGCTCTATTGACCTAGGAACAGGTATGAAGGTCAGAACAAGGCCAAAAATAGCCCGCTTTTTTACTTGGGACCTTGATTTTCTGGGGCAGATTCTGTTGCAAATTTCTTATCAATGGCAGGTTCCGAAAGAGACATGCTTTATGGACTTCTGTAAGATCAGAGAAGGTCACTGACCTGAAATGACCCAGTTCAACATTTGCTTTTAGGAACATAACGTAATATCTGATGTTTGTTCGAATGACAAAATAGAAGCAATGCTTTAGGCATGTGGTCTACTTGACCTTATAAAGGTCAAACAAGGTCACTGACCACATTGATCGTTCGCTTAGAACAGGTATCTAGTTTCAAGGCGGCTGCATGAAGAGGCCTGGGGGCACTTGAGACACCAATCTGGAGTCTGACCTCTTTTGACTTTATTTGACCATAAGTTCATCACCTAGAAAGCTTAAATTTTGACATAAGTGAGTTCCGACACACGCCAATCAATTCTGTAAGTTTGGGGACTCTTTGGCTATCTTAGTTTTCAATATCTCGGGGGGTGACCCCCACCCGAGCGAAGGGCATTCAACCGGCCACCTGGGCGCGTGCCGAAGGGTAGGCCTCTCCGCTATACCCTGTTATAAAACAAATACATAACTTATTAGGACCAGCAAACTCCTCTGAAAGCCAAATTAACACTGAAATTGTGCAAAGCAAGATTTTATCAAGCCATTTTAACGTAATTTCTGCTCGATATATCCTGGGCAGAGGCGTGAACAACATTAATATCACCAAGTAATAGTGCTTTGCGGCAGTTCGAAGGTACTTTGCAAATTCTGAGGAATGATCGCGGCGAGGTATTAGTAGCACAGATGGACTAATTGTTCGTCCTATCGTCCTCGTTTGGTGAGTTGGCATTCGCAAAACGCTTTAACAAGCAGGTCTCCCGGTCGTCTTCAGGCGTTATTGAGTCAAGAGAAGGAATGTGGAAGACTTTTAGTCACGCACGTGTCACAACCACAGCTATCCTCTTGGCATTGCGGGGATTCGTACCAGAGTTTTCTTGTTACAAGCCCAGCGCCCTACAAACTGAGCTATCGGTTCCGGATAGCCAAGTGGTTACATCGCTGGACTTGTAATCAAAAGAATCTGTTTGCTTTTAATCCTAGAGATCCCAAGAAGAGAATCTGTGTTTGACGTGCACATGGCTGAAAACCAGACAACATCCAGTGCTTGTCAGGACTCGATAACACCTGGTGACTGCCGCAGAATTAACTGACCGAAACGTCGTGTGCATACAAACTAACTGGGCGAGGACCATTGTGTGAACATCTATTCCATCCAAGCTACTTTCCATACGCTGAGATTGCCGTTTGCCGTAAGCTGTCATTCCTACTACTGGTCATAAGTACTACAACCTAACGGCATTTGCCGTACGCTCTACGTACTGATCTGTTTTGCCATCAGTCCGCATTACAAGAGAATTGCCCTATTTTCCTGATCATGGCCGACCAAGTGGCTTTGATCACAGCAGACGCCAGAATTCCCCGCATGAAAACATTGGGACTTTTGCCGTGCGCCTTCACAAAGCTTCTAGCTCCCTCGCACAAAGCCACAGTCATAATGGCACCCAATCCACCCATGATTGATCGTTCCATAAAAAAAAACGTTTAGACCTGCCTATTTTCATCCAAATCAGCTGTTACAGGCCAACACCTTTATTACCAATATAACAATTGTAGGACCCAGCGCACTGAAGGCAGCTGTGTTATAGGATGTTACTGCGCCTCCGTTAACTAGATGAACATCTAACTGGCGACGATAATCTGGCGCAAATTATAATTTGACCCGAAAGCTGACGTGGGCGCTGACGCAGTCTAGGTGTAACGGTTCAACACCTGGCGAAGTCAACGCACGCGATGCCGGACCGGTCCTCTGGCAACAGGTAAAGGGGGCTCGCCATCTACCCATCCAATTATCATCAACGACCGAATGCACCGTACACTGTGCAAGGCGCAGTGCAATTTACGATCCTCATGTGGTGCATTATTGACTATGCGCTTGCTTTGAAGGCGCCCGCTATACCGTGTAGCACATCCTCAGCGGGATGTCCCATTTCTCTGGCCCGAAGTGAACTCTAGAGAGGTCGTGCTCTCGGGGTATACCACTGGACCTGGAGGTCTATCTAGAGACAGACCACCGGACCTAGAGGTCTACCTGGAGGAAGACCATGACCGCGACCCCGGTGCTGCGGGCGCTGGCTGGCGCAGCAAACACAGAGCGATCACTCCGCAGATGCTGCCATTTCCTGAGTGGGGGCCGTTCGAGGAAAAACTGGGCGATGTCAGACGCGAACCAAGGACCTCTCGCGTGCATTGTAACGCGCCTTAGTCAGTTGCGTCATCGATGTGGTAATAACGAATAGCATATGTTTGCTGTAAGTGCTCATGACTATTGCGTCATTTCTAAAATGCGGGCCTTCAGCATTGAAGGCTTTCTGAAACTTAATATTGCATCTTTGTACATGCCACTTCCTTTTAAATGCCAACTTCCCTCTGTACGGTGTGCAGTGCGACGACCTTTGTGCGGTGTGCAGTGCGACAACCTTTATGTGGTGTGCAGTGCGACAACCTTTGTGTGGTGTGCAGTGCGACAACCCGCCTCAGTTTACATTTTGTCTTCAATATGTTTGAAATACGTGGCACCGCTGACGCCGCCGGGTGGTCTGATTAAGCTCGTCATCACCGAGGGGCGACTTTGATTCGCCTGCCGCCTCACCCAGGCTACTTCGGCTTGAAGGTTATTTCATTTTGAAGCTGTGCTACAGGCCGGGCGGCTGGGGCAAGATCACGGACAATTCCCCGCGTGTTGCGATCTTTAACGTACGTTTTTACAACGTATGTGCGTACGTGCTAGTACGTTTCCTCGCTCTGTCTCGGCGGAAGACGTACCAGGAATCACGCTCCATTGGTTGGGCATCGACGGGCAAACGCGAGTTTCGATAATCCATATTAGTCGATGTTATGCGACTTCATGCGTTGTTGGACCTCTATCAGCATCGGGAAAAATGAGTGTGCGTTGATGTGTGTGGCTTGGAATCACCCGTCCGTAAGGCTTGTTGCAGGCTGGAACGCGGCGCTCGCGTCGGGCCTGTTCGATGCGGCTCACGTTCTTCTGGTGGTGGTCATTGTTCGGACGGCTACGGCCATCGGCGGAGTCGACTGGAATCGATTGTAAGTTTACGTAACTCTTCCATTGAATGCTCTCGCCGGTATGGATGTTGGAGCAATACAGGGGTTCTTGTAAGTGTAGAACGCTAATGAACGCGCTACTTTTTATTAGCTCAAACTCAACTGGAATGCTTTAATTTACTGATAGCACAAAGAAGTTAAATAACTCAGTTTACTGCAGTCTGCAGCGCATGAAACCTTGATGTCCTGTGTCGAAACACTGTGTCGAAACCTGTGTCGAAACATTCCGATAATAACACGAAACGAGATTTAAGAAAATATATGAACCATTTCGTTAGATATACGCCGCATGCTGCAAATACATGAAGTACTGAGATAGACAGGATTTGAGTGCACGGCTGGTTGTTTTTTAAGTTAACCAGCCCTGTGATAATGATAATGTGAGCTGGTCAAACTACAATGTTTTGAGAATGCAGCAATCAGTTGCTCTCAACTGAACATTATGTACATGACGGCTTCCATTAGCATTGTGTTTTTTTATCTTCTACAACGGAGCTACCATCTTAAGCTCCCATTTCTAAAGTTATGTGTGTACTCGGCCTTGGGTGCCAAGATGTTGGGAGAAGGAGCAGAGTCACCTTTGGGGTGTTTAATTAGTCGTAACGGGCGCCCGTGCTTCAGCGCGTGGATTATGGGACGCGAACGTCACTCATGAATTCAGGCACGCCGAAAACAAGTTGGTGGAAACGTCCCTTTAGGCGGCTTTGCCATTGGCCAGTGTCGAGCAGGGGGAACATGACGTCACACCTCAACAGCGTTGCCATTGGCCAGTGCCGATCAGGGAAACATGACGTCACAGTCCCTCAGGAAATATGCCTTTGATTTGACCAGCGCCAAGCAGGATGATATGACGTCATGTTGGCATTGACAGAGCGTTCCTGATGATTCTGCGCTTAGGCTTAGGTGTCGGTAAATTGCGAGTCGGGAAACTGCCCATAGAAGTAGGAGTCGAGTAGGGACCATTGCTCTTTCCCTTCCACCATGGATCGCGCGATTCCGCAGATTCTTTGATACATGAAGGGAAAGCATCAGTGTTCCTGACCTCTATGATACTGTAGATATTGTAGGGGACTTATAAGCCACAAAGCCTGTTTGCTTTGGTGTTGCTGATGTAAGATCATGATGTTATCTTGGTTGTTTAGGGCGCTTTCGACCCGAAATGATCATTTCAGGGCTGTGGGATGAAGGTAAATGGTTAACGGTGGGGCAGACTTGCACGCACCTGGGGACCAAACGTCGAGCTTCAACCCGTGCATGTGCGCTGGGTACCCGGTCGGGGTCCCCCTTCCCACGGGGCTCTCGGCCCACTCGTGGCTGACGCATGCAGCCTGCCCCGGACAGGCGGGTTGTCGCGAGGATGTAGGATGAAGAAAGATAAGGGATTGGAGGAGCGGATGTAAATGATATCTTTTGTTGTTATTTTTTCTGGATTAAAGCGCTTTCAGCCAGAACTGATCATTTCAGGGCTATGGGATGAAGGTAAGTGGTTAACGGTGGGGCAGACTTACATACGCCTGGAGGGCCAACCGCCGAACCTGAGCTGACGTGGCTGACACATGTGGCTGGCTCACGCATACAGCCTACCCCAGGCAGGCGGGGTGTCGCGAGGATGCAGGATGAAGCAAGATATGGGATGAGATGGACGGGTGAGTTATTTTACCTGGCATCTCTCATGATGATGAATGCCATACAGTTACTTTAACCAATCATCACTGCTTAAACGGAAAATACATAATCCTGTAGCCGCTGGGTAAGACGTCCAACAGTGGATGATTTATTCAGCCGCGCTGCAGAAATCCAGCTAACGACCTATTAGTGACGCCCTCCCGTTCCAACCAGTCGTAAATAATCGTCCAAATTCCTACCGGCGCCCGTCCTGCCGCCTGGCGGTCGCCGGTCGAACCAGTTGCCAGGCTACGGCGGCCACCACAAACGCCCCGGGCGAATTCCGCCGGCAGGCTGAGACTATTCGCGAGTGACCGACCGTGCGGAAGCAGCATCGGTTCACTGGAGACGCCTTCAGGTATGTCATCCGACGTCAGCCCACTGATAAGTTGTGGTTCTTTCGGGCGTGCTGACCACGTGCGGACGTGCAGCGCTCACTGCTACCGTGCCAGCGACAGGTTTGTGAATCGAACTGGTTGTAACACGCGCTCGGGCGGGGGCCAAATTGCCCCCCCCCCCCCAAAGGTTTTTTCCAGAATGGTTTCCGAACGGCGCGGCGCGGCTGCGCCACATTTTGCATAGCTGTAGACAATTGAATAGTGGATCGTTTGGCATAGACAAAATTAGATGTACCTTGTAAGGTCGCTGACCTATGGCAGGTCAAAGTCAGGCCATGGTTTCAGCGAAGTCAGTTTCCAGGAAATCTTTCAATCTGATACAACAACGGAGTGTTAGACGAAGCCATACATCTCTGAGATGCTTTTTAGGCAACACCAATATTGAATGAGCAAATTACGGTGACCTGAGTTCAGGTACAAAGGTTAGACCAAGGTCAAAACCAACCTGTTTTTCACGCTGGGGCTTGCAGTATGGGATAGTTTCTGGTGCTCATGTCGAATTTATTGGTAGCAGGAACGGTATTACACATCTTCCATGAACTTTTTAGAGGTCAGGATAAGTCTTTGAGCTCGAACAACCTAGGTTAACATTCTGTTTTTAGAAACATACGGCCTAGCGTTATATCTGTCGCCTATTCAAATGCAAAACTAATAGTAGTCTTGTGTGATTTTGGTCACCATGACCTTTAAAAGGTCAAACAGGGTTACTGACCTTAACTGAGCATGTGAACTTTTGCTACGAAACAGTTATCTAGGTTCTGGGGGCACTTCGGGGACCAATCTGGAATTTGACCTTATTTGACCTTAATTGACCCGGAGGTCATGACCTAGGAACCTTAAACCGACCTAAGTGAGTTCACGTACAGGTCAACACACCCTGTCATTTTGGTGTCGTTAGCTCTCTTAGTTCCCGAGATCTCAGGGGGGGGGGGGCAAATTGACCCCCACCTCCATCCGAGTGAAGGGTATCTAGCTGATCACCTAGTTTCTGGCTGGCTGATTTCCTTGACGCATACGCGGTGAATCGATTTCGTATCCTTAACAATTACAGAATCACCCACAACCTCACCAGTCTGATTGCCTCGTTCCAAGCAGCTCATCACCCGTTGAGCGGTTTGAGTGTTTACGGCATGAAGACATCAGCTCTCGTTTGTAGATTTCCATATGCACTTTAACTTATGTTTGGATCTAAAGTGGAGACACCACTGGGGCAGTTTAGGCCACATATTCGTGTTATTCTTCAAGCGCTCAGCAACCCACACGCAGAATTAGTCGTGACTTGCGAGATCATGGGCGGAGATGAGTTCGAAAACACTCCTCTAGGTTACATTTACACCGCTCTAGATGCATCATACACCAAACATCTTCAAATATCATCTGACTTCACGTTGAACCCACGCTCCACGTGTTTCCCGCCTCGTTGATGATGGTTGACAATCGCTTAGTCACGTGACACTCCTCGACGCGCGCTCCTGTGGCGAGGACTGCGTTTCAGCCTCCGAGCAACCAATGTTTTGAGGTCGGTGTCACCTTTATGCGCAGTCGTGCCGCCCACGACACCGCACAGCCTTAGTCATTGCTCCACAGTGTATGGCACAACTGTGGTCCTCTGCGCTGGTATCGTTCGCAATGGACGGGCAGCGTTTATATCAATTGTCGGAGCAAGAAATATGTAGAATTTTGGATCAACTGGACTCTGATGAGTCGGGTACGGACAGCGTCAGTGAGGAAGAAGACGCAGCGTTCTGCGTCGCTTTAGAGTCCAGCGACGACGACGATGCGGGCGTCGCTGGTGTCGCAACGTCAAGTGAGGACAGAGTGGCTCTTCACCCCTCAGAGGAGGCGGTGCGCCATCAACTTACCACCTCACAGCAACGTTTGGAAGACGGAGTCTACGTCGCGTGGCGCCGCCTGCAGAAACACGAGCTGCCGCACGGGCTCGCTCGTACAGCGTCCATGACAGCCGGAGCGGAGTGGCCGAAAGATGGGGCACACAGCCCCATCGGGACCAGTGCGCAGAGCTCCATGCAGTAGCACCAGAAAGCGCCCCGGGCTGAAGGGGGCTGCAACTGAGGCCCGGACAGAAGCCGATCGTTTCGCACTGTTCTTTACGCCAGAGTTGGACGAGGCACGGTCTCAGTCTCTGGAGAAGTCATCGGACGCATCAAAGACTCTCCCCTATATGAGTTCGTTCCATTGACGCTCGTAGAACTGCGTGCTTTTATCGGGCTCAGTCTGCTCCGTGGTTCTGACGGGGAGAGATATGACACCGATGATTTGTTCACGGGTGTTTTGCCCACGCCCCGTTCCAGGCTACCTTGAACAAGCGGCGGTATGCACGCATCCTTAGCAGTCTTCGCTTTGATGATGCCGAGACACATGAACAGAGGAGAAAAGGGGCTATGTGCCATGCGGGAGTTTTTTGAGCTGTTCGAGTCCGGCCTCCGGCGTTGCTACATCCCACGGAGTTGGTTACCATCGAAGAGCCTCTCGTTCGATTCCTTGGTCGATGTGGGTGCAAGGTCTGCATGCCTGCCAAGCCGGGGAAATGTGGCATACTCTTCAGCACTGTCGCCGATGCTGAACAACGCTACGTGTGGAAGATTTGGCCGTATGCAGGGCGGCTCGCCCAGCCTGACCTGGCGGACACGGTCAGGACACAGCCTGGCCTGCCCAGCCTGACCTGACGGACACGGCCAGGACACAGCCTGACCTACCCAGCCTGACCTGACGGACACGGTCAAGACACAGCCTGACCTGCCCAGCCTGACCTGACGGACACGGTCAGGACACAGCCTGGCCTGACCAGCCTGACGGCGGACACGGTCAGGACACAGCCTGGCCTGACCAGCCTGACCTGGCGGACACGGTCAGGACACAGCCTGGCCTGACCAGCCTGACGGCGGACAGCGTGATGCCCACCGTGCCTAGTCTGGTCTTCTTCCTGACCAGGGAGCTGGCAGGAGCAGGTAGGACCGCTATTACACCTCGGTAGAGGTGTCAGACCTGCTGCAGGAACAGAAACTCTGGCGTCGGAACTCTACGGCAGCGGAGGCGGCTCATCCCGTCCGAAATGAAAACAACGCGGCACCGGCAGGTGGGCTCCACGATCGCCTGCGATCGCAAGGGGACGACATTAACCTCCACTGCGCCAAGGCCGGGAAGCTGGTTCTGACGTCGTCCACCTTCCACCCAGTGGTGCGTGTAGACACCAAGACCGGCAAATCAAAAATGGTACTTTTCTGCAACGCCGCTAAGGACGGCGTGGATCTCTGTGACGCCATGATCGGGGCATACCCCACGCAGCAGCCGAAGCGTCGCTGGACCACAGCTGTTTTCATGTTCCTGGCGAGCGTCGCTGCTCTGAATGTGTACTTCGTGTTTTGCTCCCGGAACACAGAAGCAGCCGCTGCTCGGCCCCGCTATGGCGGCTGGCGCCAGTTTCTGCGGGCGCTTGGACTGGCCCTGGCCGAAGACCAGCAGGGACAGAGAGCCGCTCTGTGCGAGACCAAAGGAGCGGTCAGCAGGCCTACGGCTCTGGTGCTTGAGAAGGTCTTGGGTCGGGAGCTGCGACCGCTTTTCGTGACCAGCAATGTGCCTCAGGCCAGTGCCGCGCCGGCACGCAGCCGCTGTCGTCTGCGTGGAGGAAGTGCATGGACCCGGCTACAAAACTAAGAAAAGTAAGATAAAAAAGGTGTGACCACATCCTCGAAGTGTGAGAGATACGTGTGCCATGAGCACAGTACCACCGTTCGAGAATGCGGGGCGTGCAGCCAACCAGACCAGCCCGCCACCGTGGACAGCGATAAAACGGCGTGTTGTGAGGCGCGCTTGCGTGCGTTAGTTGATATAGTTGTTAAAGGAACGGGATGGAGAATCCAGCAGTTGTGGTATTTCAGTTATCATGCGTTATGCGTATATTTGAGCGTGGCTAAGCTAAGCACGACTCTGTGTGTGCATGCACGCAGCTGTACATCTCCAAATGACGAGGCGGATCCATGAAAGGATGATGCATCAAACCCGGTACGTTGCTGCGTGCACTTAGCAAAAAACACGATCGTGGATACACCGTTTTTGAATGCTGACTTATGCTAGACGAAATAAGTGATGATGAGATCAATCCGGCCGCGAAAGAAGCACGCGAGCAACATTCTGCTGGTAGTCATATCGAGGCATAGGTGGTTGGAGCATCGGCGTTACGACGCGCTCACAGGGGGAGTTCAAATTCCCAAAAGTGCTTCATGCTCTCGCTTGTTTCGCATACGGTGCGATAATAGCAGGACCCGCCATGAAAAAAATATTGCATAGTTAGGCCACGTGCAAATCACGTGGCGTCAAAGTGTAGCCGGAGATGTACCAAGCACCATAGCAAGGCACTTTAAGGTGTTTCATCAACCTGACCTTCTTTCCCTTCAATTGACCACCCGGACGTGTGGTAAAAGTCAGAGTAGGTCACTAACCGAAAATGACCCAGGCCAAAAACTTCATTTTTAAGCACGGATCACTTTGTCTAATTCTAAACGCGTCTTCAAAATAGAAGATCAAAACAATCTCCTAGGTTTTGGTGACCATGACATTCCAAG